TCCCAAGGTTTAAGTTGGGGAGTTGTACCGAGGGTGTCTTTGATTCAGTTTGTACAGTGTTTTAGTTCATTGATGCCTGCCTTTGACAATTAGATTATTGGTATCCTGTTCTGCTATTAACCTCATTCATATGAGGACTGTTTTGTAAATAATAAACTTGTAAATAGTTAGACCATATGTACTCCACTGTGTGGGGAAACCAGAAGAAAGCACTCTATGGAGAGGTGGCCCCAGCTTTAGGGGCTTGGAGGTTGACCGAGGCTATTTGATGCCCCGGGACCAAGGATCCAGATGTGGCCACAGGTAGCACCATGGCTAGGGTTACATAAGCTATGGAAACAGTCTTATAGCCAGGTACAGATTTCCAACTGAAAAACATACATGAAACAAGATATGCAAAGCCTATAGTGATCAACCATAGAAAAAGACTGTCTCCTCATGAAATCTCAACCCAACCCTAAGAAAAGACTGGAACACACCTCTTTCACTTTCAAATATTGGTCTTCCAAGTTGTTGGTGGTAGGGAATATGAATTCAAAATCAACTGAAATGCAACACACACAAGAGTTCCACCAAAATCTTTACTCTTTGGAATTAGATACAATAGAGAGATTGAGAGCTTTTTATGCCCATGACACAGATTTGTTTCCATATTTGGGATGCATATTACAGTAGTGGTCTACGTTGTTAAAAACTGGGACTGCAGCACCAGTTATTTCAAATGAAAGTTTCCTTGTGTGAAAGGAATTATGAAACAAAGTTAATGTATGTCATTTTTTACATCTCAGCATCTTGCACAATACCCTATAAAGGAAATCAGCTCAGTTTTGGCCTTACCCTGGTTCTTTAAATGAGTGAAGAAGCTTGAATTGGAAGTTGTATTATCTGTTGGATAATCCCAGCCTTGCAGGCAGCCATATTGCCCTTCTGATGTGCCCTTCATGCTCAGATTTAAAATACCTCACCCAAAATATGATGCAGCAAAAGAAATCAAGTCGCTGTTGCATGTAATATTTGTGTCCCTAATCAACTTAGACACTAGCACAATGGGAACAGGTTTGAAAGCATGGCTTGTGTGAAACAGAAGGTTGATAATTCTTGTTATGGCACATTCGGTAATATAGAATGTAAAAAAGCTTGTTCATATGAATTTAATGTGTTAATAGTGTTATTGCATATGCTATTATGGAAAAAAGTCTAACAAGTAATTATCTCATATTTGGTAGCTTTTTTTTCCCTATACAAACTCAACTGATAATTCTTAGATCTTTTTTATTCAATGCTATGAAACTGTTAATGTAATTAAGGCAACTTCTTTTTCTCAAACACTGTGACATGACAGACATCAGATTACTGAATTACTTGAGCATACAGCAATTTTTTTGTTATGGATCCATCAGATTGTATATTATATAGTCATAACAAAATTGTGCAAAAATGCCTTTATCAAAAATGATTAGGAGCTCATTATTTAAAGAAACACATATTAAAAATGCTAATCTTTTCCAACAGCTTCCCCTCTTTAACTAAAGTATTATTGGTTAAGAATACAGATGCTTAAGGATTTACCAATATATTGCACTGCAAGACTTGAAACAGTTTGTGTCACAATTAGATGAACACAAAAATGTATTGATAATTTGAAGAGAAATAGTGTTGGAAAATTACTGACAGTGTGATAGCCAAGAATCATTAACAATCTGGTGCTTATTTTTGAACAGGTGTACAATTTAATTATCAATGCCAATGGGCAACATCAATGCCAATTTCAGAGAAGCAATGCTGGAGGTTCTGTGCCAATGAATGCCTCATTCAAGCCAGACAAACTAGGCTAATTAGAAACAGTCAAGTGTACTATGGAAAATATTCCAGATGAGAAAAATGAATCCTACTTTACTTTCCCATTTTAAAAGTAAGTAGTTCTGTCACACCAATGGGGGTCAAGATTCTTACCAGATTATTTATTATCCCTTAACACATGCCTAGATCACATTCAGAAAAGCAAAGGTGAAGATCTTTAATGGAATGGCTGCATATCATTACTGGAATACAGCTGCCGTTATTATTTTACGTTTTAATTTAAATTATCTGAAATGAAAAATTACTATTTTTTCTAAGATTTTTAGTTTACATAGCTTCAAGAAAGCAAATATACAACTTCAACAGATGCTTTCCTTTGAAGATAAATGAAATAAAATGACAATCACTGTTCAGTAGCCAGAAAAAAATGTCACTAACTATAAATTATTTGAGTTTCATAAACATTAAACCATTTAAAGGAGAAGATAGTGTTAAATCAACTTCTTTTTCCTGGCATATTTTCCATATAATAGCTCAGTACCTATCTTCTCATATAAACAAAAAAAATTAAACAGAACCTACCAATAAGCATCTGCTCCCTCGCTGAACCACCATGGTCTCCTCCATATTGGGCCTTACTTCCCCATAGGCTGTATGTGTCCAGTTTACAGGACTCTGGGCCTGTCCTGTAAGCCAAGCAGTCCCCTTTAGCCTCTGTGTTATGGAGCTCCTTCCTCTGCAACTTTCAGGGCCACAATGACTACCCTGGCTCAGGCCATAGCTTATATTTTGCTCATGCCCTGCCCACTTGTGGTCAGGTGGCTTGCTAACCTTGACCCAGCTGTCTCTCTCCAATTCTAATGGGCAACTTGCTGTTGCTACCCTGACTCCTATTGCAGTGGTGCTATTGCTTCAATAGACTCTGTCCTATTGTACTATTGTTGTGTAACTAGCACAGTGATAGGCACTTTGGCTGTTTATTCCCTTGCAGGTCACCTTAATTAGGCTGCCTGAGCATGGTATACTGCTGTTTTCCCCATTAAAGTAAGCCACAGGCCCCCTATTACACTAACACATGGAGTTAACACAACTGAACTACTTCCAGTTCTTTTTTTAATACAAGAGTAATAGTCATATTTAGACAACTTTATAAGTAGCTTTTACTAGTGTATGTCAAAGAAATTTCTTACTGCAGGCCAGCCTGCACCCTGAAAAGGATAGTAAACTTGAATATTCAGATCTGAACAAACTTAGATATTTGAAAAAATCAGATTCAGAAATGAGTTTATTAGCAGTCTTAAAAATATCATCAGGACTCTCTATCTAAAATTCTCTAAACTGCTAATCACTAGGGCTGTGTGAAGCTTTGGGTGGTGATCTGATTCGGAGGAGATTCGGCCCAGTTTGGTGGCCGAATCTCTGAATCCGAATCAAATCAAGGGACAAATTAAAAGGTCCGAATTGATTCAAAGATCTCTGAATCTTCAGAAAACATTTGGAGAGCTTTAATGGTTCAGACAGTCCCCAGTGGCTACAGCAGGGACCTGTAGCTAGACTCCAAGCTGATAAGTAGGGGGTGGGCGAGGGTGGGGCTGGGGGAGG